GCGTTATCCTTGGGTCATTAAGAACCCCTTACACTTGGCCCTTAGGTCATTTCCTACATGAGTTTCACCCCATGTTTCTTGAAGTGACATTGTACACCTCACCACAGTGAATGTTACAGCTGACAGCCCCATCCAGACTTGACAAGCAAAGTCTTACTGTGTCTCTCAAAACCTGCTGTCCATCAGAGTAGTGCTCGATCTCTACCATCCCAGTCCTGCTCCATCCTTGTCCCACTGATTTCAGGCTCTTCTGAGGCTCATTTGACCACCCTGGTGGGTCAGCTTACCCCAGCTCTTCAATACCGATTTGCTTCTCCCCCCTGTGACTGCAGCACGCCCCTTCTTTTATCCCTTCAGGGGGGCATGCATCTGGATAGCAGCTCATCCAATCAGGAGTTCAGAGTGAATTCTCCAATCACTTTGAGCCACCTCCCTGGATCATGGCTAGGCCAATCAGAAGTTTGGGTTGAATGGGTCAATGATGCTGAACTTCCCTTGTTGCAACAGTTTGAAGAATAAGCCCAACTGGACAGAGACCAGGCCGTAAGAGATCCTGATCTAACTCTGTTGCAACCCTATCTAATGTGTACTGCTCAGACCTGCTGCTAGAGGGCTAGTAAGCAGAAGTGTGGCTAGGGGCTGCAAGTCTGCTCCATGCCTGCCCTGCTCATCAGTTCTCTAGCTACAGTATAGGGTGGGGAGAAAGAAGGGGAATAGGTTTCCCCAACACCACATGGATCACCCCCTCGACCTCCCATACTAACCTGGTGTCCACCATTTGCCCCTGGATACTCCTTCCACGCTGTGATTGGCCCTTCCATCAGATCACTGTCCTTCCACCCCAAACAGCAAGAGAACAGCAGCAGTGGCAGCAGCTGTGGGGGTGTCTCCCTCTCTGCATGCTCCTGGGCTGTCCTCAAGCTGAACCACCCCTATCCATCTGGATGAAGCCTCCACCAAGCCCTTAAACTGCCCCCCAACTCTTTGAACTTCCCACTCTTGCTTCTTTCCCCTGCCTCCCCCTTAGTTGCAGGGCCTGGCAAGGGTT